CTGTGGGCTTCAGTGGCTCGCGGCAAGACTGCAGCTCATGGCAAGACTGGACTCCCGCGCTTTTGTGAGGGGCGCCACGTACCTCTACCTATGCCTCTACTGCAAGTGCCGACACCCGATTGCAGACGGACGCATGACTGGCGTGATATGACAGATAGCAGCGGCAGCAAGACCGAGGCAACAGAGGCTGCAGTCGAGAATGTGAGGCGTTTCCTGCACTCCTGCAAACGTGAAAAGGTAAGACGTAAGGTAAGCGTATTATATGCGTGCACCTTCTCACTTGCAGCCTGCAGTCGCACGAAAATTAATCAAATTAGATTATTCTCAAAGGTTACTGAATATAAAGTTTCAAATATTTTAGACGTCTAGTAATTAAAATAATGAATTTCAAATAATGATCATGGGCTCCTGGAGAAAAGGCAACATTGGCAGAATCCTAACGTAGTCGATCACAGTAGGCATATCATGCTGTCCGCACAGTTAGATAGACTCGGGTTTTATTTCTAATGATTCATGGTAAATTAAACATAGACACAACAAAATACATAAAATTTTCAGGTGGATTAAACACCAGGTCATCTCATGCTCGCTCAATAATACAGTATCAAGTTCGACTGCACACATTCAAATATTCTTGTTTTCCTAGATCAGTTGTTGAATGGAACAGGTTACCTGCTGACCTAGCAGATTTAGATACTCTCGACTATTCCATTGATAGGGTAACTGCTTGCTTTGAAAAATATCTTTTAGATTTGTTGCTTCTCATTTCCTTGTATATAGAGTGTTTATTATTTGATACAATGTATTAGTGCCATTTTGTAATCATTGGTGTTAAAATGGGTTGTATTTGTATATCGGGTGTTTATTATTTGATACAATGCATTTTGTAATAATTGGTATCCAAATCTGTTGTATTTCTATTGCACTGTTGTGCCTTTCCTATCACGGCCCTGTGTGGGCCAGGTAGTACTATTAATTTAATTAAATAAATAAATAAACCACATGTTCCATAGCCTCTAGTAGAACGCTCTCTTATTCTAGGCTCCCGCTAGTAGTTCCCTTGTAGTCGCTGCGGTGAACTCCTTTCGCCAGAAAGGCGAGAAAAGCGAAGTGAATATATGTAATGGCTTGTAGAGACAATAGGCTAGATGTGTCATTATATGGCGGCACTGTGTTGGACTGTAAGTGATAGATTTAGCTAGTCGGACGAGTCAGACTCGAAATTCGTCCCCAAAATGAAGTAAGCCGTCCAGCACCAACCGACGAAGGGGACAGTGTCGTACGCAAACTTCAATACAATTTCATTTCGGGAACTTGGATTTGTTTTTAGGTTTTGTAGTATACAGATCTTTTGTCGCATGACCATTTCATTAACCTGCAGCCTAAAAGGAGAGCATATGCTAGTTTGGTTTCGGTTTAAGGATTTCAGTTTGAACACATTCCTGCCGCTGGGTAGCGTACATGTCGGAATGGGGTTCCTTGATTTCTCACTTTTTAAACTTAATTGATTTGTCTTTCAAACTCTATACCTTTATAAGAAGTGCTCTTATAAATAAATAGGACGTAACACAAAACCAAGCGCTTTATTTCGCTTCCAAAAAAACATTAGATGGATCTTATCAATCACGAACGTGAACTTATGTTTCCAAAACCTGCACGCGTTCAACACCACGGGACACTGCCGTAGTTTGAGAGGTGTTTTACAACGTCGAATTAAATATAATGCCTTATTATTTCAGCATTCACTCCTTGTCCCCTGAGCCTCCCGAGCGACCAGGAAGGTAAACAGAGCGAAAAAGGCAGATGCTCAAATAGCTTTGCATGGGCCCTTTAATAAGGCGCAGGCGAGCTGGTGAGCAGTCATGATAAAACTAACCCCGAGACAAGGGGAAAAAGACGGGACAGACCCAGTGACGCTTTTTTGGCGTCTGTCCTGGCTTTTTTGTCTTGTCTTTGGGTTACTTTTATCATGCTAGTGCTTACTTTAAGCCATATGCTACTCCTTTTTTTATTTGCTGGCCTTGTATTTTCTAAATAATAGTCATATTATTTTTTGTAAGCATGCATTATTTTAAATAGAAATGCCAAGAAGGAAACAAGGTAGTACACTGTGCATGATCCTAGTTATGATATGAAGAAGTGCTTGTGATATGGCTGTTCCTTTCAGTTGGTGCTATTCTTAATGTATGCTGCATTTGAACATCCATAACAAAGATTGTTTTCTGCATTTGTTTCTGTATAAATGAACATCAGAAGGAGTATATTATTACTCATATGGTCCTTCTTTTTTTCTATCAGATGCCAGGTGTCCGCTAATATCGTCGCCCGAGATGCAGCAACCGTGTGTTTCAACTGTTCACGTCATACAAGAAGCATGTCTATCGACATCACACTCAATTACTTAAAAAGAAGACAACCCATACCAAGGAAGTGCTTCTTCGTGAAGCGCAAAGTGCACAGGCAGCGCAAAGTGCACAGGCAGCGCAAAGTGCACAGGCAGCACAAAGTGACAGTGGTGCTCCAAGTGATGTGGATGCTGCGGAAACTGACTTCCACCGAATGGGGCTACTGGGGCTACAAGAAAGGATGGCTGAAGAAGGAGATGAACCCAACCCCGAATCAAGCGACTATGTTAAGCAATTGCCGCTTTTGATCCTTAAGTGGAAAGAGCAGAGGCGTTTTTTTAGAGTCAACCTTAAACGAAATAGCCAACGATGTAATTTTTACACAAAGGGTATTTTCGAAGATGAACGATTGCAATCTATCGACAAAGAGGCTGGCAAAGTGAATGAGCTACTGTGTGAGCTATAACTGCACCAGACTTACGAGAAGTAGGTGGAATACTTACTGGAAAACACATTTTCTATATATTGAGCCGCACACTGTAACTCTACACACTTAAAAACTTTACAGCCTTATTCGTGTAAATTGCTCGTCCTGTGGCTAAAGCCTTTATCCGTGTAAGGATGTTAGCCACCGGAGGTAAAGGAAATCGTGTAACTTGCTAACATCCTAAAAACAATATGGCGACCAGTACGGGACATGCGAGCCATATGAGTAAAAGGCGTAGCGAGCCGTTCCATGGTCGAAAGATGGAAAACACATTTGCCGCGCCATCGCACTTTGCCCGCACAGTTGTCACCGATGCCTCCACCGTGCTTCGGTACCGATGACACTTGCTATCATTAAAATGGCAAAACTCTCAGTGTTGTCAGACTACCAAGCAAATTCGCATGAGGTCTATTGTGTCTCAGTACTTCACAGGTTATAGCAACTTGCCGGGAGCTAGCCGCACGTTCGTGGAGAAGGAAGCAGCCGTTTGCGGTGACAACGAATACCCAATCGACCTTTATTCAATGATGCAGCGTCAAAGATTATAACGGAGCATTATCGTTGTGCATGCGCCTTGCCCTTGGGGCATAATGTGCCGTGTCATGCAGTGAAGCTGCGAGGGCACTTACACTTACAACAAGGTTTGTTAAACAACCCACTAATTTGATGGCCTTGATGCCTGGTTGAGCATGTTCACTTCTGTATGGTTCATACTCCACATATGTGCAGTGCCATAGATGTAAAGCATGGCAAATTTTATGACTTCGGTGCACTGAGAAAAACAGGTACTGCAGTTTGCCACATGCAATTCAAAATACCATTCCTAACCTAAAAGCATACAGAATAGCCAATAAAGAGAACTTACCAAACACTTCTGTGGTCTCTCTTGCTCCAACACGTCTGCACCTGTGCAGTCTTCGACTGCCGTCGTTTTCCGTGACTGTCTGCCATATTTCTGCCTGTAGTCGTCAACAACAGCATTACCAGTCACCTTGTGACACTCATTTCTATATTTGTTGCGCAATGAAATGGTCCACAATTCCCGTTAAGAAATAAAGATTGTTATGCTACCATTGAAATATCTATTTCCAATGCAATACCACATTGTTAAACGCACTGTGGAGCATTTTTCGGGCTTCAGGCAAATAATTGTGGGACGTAATATTTGTCCCACCTAGAAAAGAAAACAGAAAACAATTTTCGTGTATGTAATTTTTATGTATTAAAAAAAAGAAAAATGTTTAAGATCGTGGCATCTCTAAACCGCTCTAAAATCCAGGGTCATGTGCGTAGTGACGTTTCAATGAAAATCCTCTTGGGGAGCGCAAAGCTTCTATGGTAGAAGTACACAGGGAACTAACTATACACGGAAATGAATGCGAACTTTGCCATGGTGACATGCTGTAGTTTCCGTGGCAGAGAAAGAGACACACTTGTGGCTACAAAGCGGGGAATATCTTTTCGTCATTTCTCGGCAGAATTACGACCTTCCAAGAAAATACTACTTGTTTTCTTCTCGTCATACCAAGATTATCTCTCCAAAATTATCATTCTCCACTATCGTTTGACCTTCAAATTGTTGCACAGCCCTTTTATGCAGCACATAGCCACTCCCAGTTACGTCACTGAGATCTGGGTGCTGCAGCATTAAGTTGACTGCCTTGAAGTAGAACTTCTTCGAGGAATAACCAAGTCAAGAAACGAAAAAAAAAAAAGAACCAGGGTTGATATTAGTTTACAAAGATCAAAGAAAACAAAACTACCTACTTTATCAGAACTGCACAAGGAAAACATGTTTCAGAACGCCTGGAGTAAATCCCATATGGATTTATTAAATCTGGCAACCACCATTTTACGGCAATGAAATGTGACTTTCTGCAGAATATATGGCAGCTAGTTTTGCCTATTTTGGTAAATTAATATATTGTTTCCAAAGAGATCAAAACAGTGAGTATGAAAAAAAAAAAAAACACATCTTTAACCCTGTAAAGCCCACTAGCACAAGGACTTTGAAAAAAAAACACGAGAACATGTTTATCGCCTTCTAACCTCGAACAGAATATATTCATGCTGAAATCGTAATACAATAACTTCCAATTAGTAAAATATTTAGTGTATCACATATGATACAGTGGGCTCTCTTCAGGCATAAGTGCACAGCCATAGGCTCATGGCTTGTGGTACTCATAGAAGCAGTTTCTGTCCTTGTTGAGGCACAGGGTGATTTCACACTTTGCACAGATGATGGAGCTGAATCTGTTTGCGCTTGGTACACAGTTCTTGCATCGTAGCCTGTTGCTGGTGACAAGTGGTAGGTGCCCAACACCATCCTTTCGGATGTCGTTTTGCAGCTCTTTTGGCGTAACTTTCCTTTTCTTCGCTGGAGGTGATGGCAAGCACGCCGGCCGTCCCCTTGGAGCTTTCCCTGACAGCATCAAGCTTTCCGACAACATTGCAATGAATGTTCTTAGCTTCATTGGCTTTGTGTTAAGCTGCGCACATTGGCGCCTGTGGATATTCCATCCATTCACAACACAGATGTAGATGGTGTGGTAAAATATGTATAAATACCAGAGCCTAGACCTGATGGTGTACTTGTACAGGGATACGTGGTAGTTGTGCTGGTCAATACCTCCCATGAAACTGTTGTAAACAGCCACGATATCCGGCCGGGGGACATCAATGTGCACCTTGGCTTTACGGTCATACCTTTTTACATGTCCTACTGGCTCTACCGACACAAAGTTTGACACAAGTGTCACGGCTTTTCTGTCAAACCAACGAACAACAGCAAGGCGTTTCGCATTATCCATTCTATGGTCATGTGCGCATTGGCCAAGCTTTTTCAAAGTTTTTTCATCCAAAAGCTTGCAATCTCCGAGTCTGTTTTGGCGCAACGTTCCAACAAATTGGATGCCTCTTCCAGTGAGCTCTTCCACAAGATCCAAGCTGCTAAAAAAGTTGTCAGCTGCAACTTTGAAACCTTCATCGGATGGCACTTCACTGCACATGCTAAGGACAGTGTCGCCTCCAAGCCCATATCTGTATTCTTGATTGGACTGTCCCTGGTAAACTTCAAACTGGTAAAGAATGCCAGTCGTACCAGCTCGTCCCCATAGCTTGAACCCCCATGGTGTCGGCTTGTTGGGAATGTATTGTTTTAGAAAGCTCCTCCCTGTAAATGCGACCATGATTTCATCAACCGCATTAAATTCCTCTTTTTCGATGCTTGCAAGATTGCGTTGCAGTCCCAAAATCCAGGGTCGAAGCTTCCACAGCTTGTCCTTCTTCTCTTCTTCTGTAACTTCCAGGTTATTAACAACGTGGAGGCACTTCATAAGTCTCAAGAAACGGTTACGAGACATTGTATCTGCAATAGGTGAGTACCTTGTGCCCTGCTCCCAATAGGACCTGACGTTGGTTATTTTCACCAGTCCCATTTGTAGTTACATACCAATATACTGCTCAAGTTCCAAAGCAGTGGTATTGACCGAACTTCCGTACTTCTGCGTGCTGTAGAGGTTTGTGTGCTCGACTAACCTCTTTAGCATGTCGTTTGCGAGGAACTTCCTGAAGAGCGTGATAGGAGATTCCAAATCGTTCGGCTCACTGAATGTTCTTGAAAAATCTGGGTGAGGTACCTGGAGCAGATCTTTTTTCCATTTGTTTCCGGGAACGGAGGTCGATGCCATGGATGGGCCGCAGTAGTCTTCCAGCTCTTCTTCCTCGTCATTTCCGTCCTCGTGACCTGCAGTCTGAGGAAGGTCCCAATCTTCGTCTTCGGTTTCCGCACAGTCGGGGGGGTTCCGGTCTTCGTCTTCACTTTCGGAGAGATCGCTAAAGTCACTCACGTCTTCACCAGTGACGACACGCTCCAGAATGTCCCTCGCTGTGATATCTAAAAAATGCAAAGCGGAATTAGGCCTCTGTACTAAGGAGTATGACACGAATTTGAGACTAACAATACAATCATAGAGTAACTGATAAAAATATATAGCCTCAAATAGCGCCCACTGTATCAAAAACGCTACGCTCAAAATTGACGCGCTATCAGCCAGCCTATAGAGTCGAGATGTGACCAGTTATCATATCCTCTGATCCCACCACTAATGTAGAATAACGTTGATGAAGTCGTTTGGTAAGAAAGACATCCACTCACCATTTTTTGCGTAGAAAGATCTCGTCGGGATGCCAGCCCGCTCGCCGCCCGAATCAGCCATTTTTCAAAAGCGTCCTGGAGACACCAAGCGGCGCTTTTTCGAACTAGACACACGTGAAAATTCCTTTTACTGTATCAAAAGTGATACTATGGGTTTTCCATTCATCCAAATGTACACGAATCTGAGCTTTTGGGTTTCGAAATCGGCGTAGCAAATATGATACGCTGGGTGCTGTGGGGTTAACTTCACATTCTGGCTGTTCAGACATGTAGCAGACAGGGCCACGAAAACGAATGATTAAGCCTCGTACTTTATGCCATCTTTTACATCTTGCAGAAAATAGCAAGTGTGCACTGTCCGTTCAGCTTTTCTGGGTCCGATGCATATGTGAAGGAACTGCTGCTTTGGTTGCACATGCAATTTCGGTGCTAACAAAACAGGAGCAGGGTCGATTCTGGCAGGAAAAACGGAGAAATAGAGCTTCCGGTATGCCTCATAGCGGCGTGCCGACATGTCACCAAGAGTCTTGGCTTCTTCAGGGCGTTTTTCAGGCCCTGGACCAGCCAAGACTCTCGGTAAAATGTCGGCACGCTGCTTCGAGGCATTTTAGAAGCTCTATGTTCGCCTTGTTGGTACTCAGCTTATCACAAGACAGTCATGCAAGCGATAACGTTTGTCATACATTCAACTTTACCGTGCTGCTTACCTAAGGCCGTATCACCCGAGACCACAGGCCTGTTAAAGCACGGCCTATTAAGGCAAGACACTGGTTCTAAAATCGACTTTTTTGTTTATTAATGGATTATAATGCAAATCAGTGTGTATATGTGTTTTGGCTTCCTCTTTTCAAATATTCAATTAGTTCTGCAATATCTCAATTACGTTTTGAGTTACGAAGAAAATAATGAAGCCTAACTAGGTCATTTCTTACGACTCATTAAGGAACTTTCTAATACAAATTTTTTTGCATAAGTGATATGGATTTGTAGCTATAGACCTGCCATGCAAGATGATGCTATTTATATTTTTGTAAAGATAGATCATTGTATAAAACTAGTCTAATTAGGTCAAGTACACTATTTACAAAGCCTAACGAGGTCACATTATCACTAATAATAAAATTTCGGGCCCATACTGTCATACAAAAATAGCATTACCCTGCAGTTCACTTCTTTCTGAATCCAACGGTATAAGGTTTATAGAAATCCTTGAAGAATAATCTCATGAAAACAACCGTAAGGCTAGGCATGTAGACGAAAAATGCGAAGCTGAGAAAATTGCAGTTGAAGTTTTGACACTCATTGCATAAAATTGAGTAAGGGATCTCATGCAATAATGTTCAGCAATATGAAGCATAGTTCTATCTGAACAAATTGAGATGAAAAATTCTGCGATCCGTTCACAAGAACCTTTAAAAAATAATATAAAACTGAGAAATAATGTCTGCAATGTAAAATAAAGTTATAAAAGAATGAGTAGACTCTATAAGGGACAACGGGAGGAGGCACTAAGGGTTGCACGTTCCAAAAGCAGATTTTGTTTGGCCCTGAAAAGGGCCTTTGTTCATGTAGCACTCGAAAGGGGAGCCCTCTCACAGCTGTCCAGGACTGTAGTCTCCAGCTGTTCCAGTCCGGTGTTGCCTGGAGAACCTCTGTTTTGCATTGCTGCTGCTCTGGTGGGCAGCGTTGGCCTTACGCAAACGCAGATTGTCCTTCTCCATGCTGCGGCGTACGAGGCAGTCACCGGCAGCATAGCCCAGGCTCGCAGCAACGGACTCGCTCATTGCCCGCCTGCCCTGATTGTAGACGGCAACAGCTTCGGCAGCAGCCCTCTTGACGCTGTCCAGGGAGGCATTGGCGTTCTTCGAGGTTTGCGTCCAGATGACCGAATGCAGGCTCTCGCTGGCATTTTGCGTCTTGCCTTCGCTGCACCGTGCCAGCAGGTTATCATCACTGAGCCTTGCAAACACTGGCTCGAGGGCGGACCGCACACAATCTGGAAGAGGGTTCTTGTGCGCAGGTGGACACTCGCCATTTGCCAGGGCTCTGTTGAATTTGCACCACGACTCAGCTCCGTCGGGGCACTTGCTGTGGTCTGGGGCACTGTCTGTAGACGTCATGTGCAAGAGGGTGGCTTCCACTGCCCTCTTCATCCCTGGCACATCGTTACTGTTGCTCCTAAGGGCATAGCTGTAGTAGTTTTGAATCTTCTTGATTCGGTCCTGCGTCAGTCTGCCCTTTCCGCCGAGTGCTTCACCCTGGGCCTTCTTTTTCTCAAGGAGGTTACGCAACAAAGCCCCCATCCGCTTGTGCACATGATTGATGCAGTCCTTTTTCTCGACCTTGACGAAGCCGTTGACTTTTGCCTCGGTCAACGCATGAAAGGTTCGGCTATCTCCATCCGAGAGAACTGTGGTGTACCTCAGTCCGTGCTTGGCCAGGGATCTTTGAAACATGGTCAATGCAGCCTCCACTTCCATCCGACCTGAATTGCAATCTATGTTCCTCTGGCACTCAAGGGCTGCATACCAGTCGCCGTACCCCTCTTCCTCCGGCTCCGGTCCCAGGGCACACCCAAGGCAAAAGTTGGAGTACGCCACATGGTCAAGAACTAGGCCGGAATACAGCTCGACAATGCAGCCCACACCAATGTGGGAGCTGCGTCCTCTCGTCATCCAAGATCCGTCAAAGATCACGTCGATGTTGCCGACAGGGTTCAAGAAGTCTGCATACAGTCTCTTGACAACTTCTGAGCTGGCAGCTTCACTTGCGCTTGCTGACTTTTCGCAGGCTTGCACATGGGTCTTCAGGTGTCCCTGGAAGGTCTTGTGATGCAGGCCGCGGTGTGACAAGTTCATGGACGCACAGAAGTCTGCGAGGGCAGTGACTCCTTTCCCAATTGACTGAATTCCCTTCATTGCCCTCATGTTCACTTCGAAAGGAGTGATCTTCGCCGTTCCGGCAACTCTTGGTGAAGAAAACTGCTTCTTCTCGAACTCGCATGTGGCACAGACGAGCAGAAGCTTGACTGCCAAGCCATACTCTTTGTCCGTGGCCTTGCTAAGTGTCAGGGTTCCCGCACCGCAGCTTCCGCACTTCGCCTGCGCGAAGAGGTCGTTGAGAGCTTTCATGTCCACTAGAATGAACTGTGTTCCAGCGTCGCGCGTCTGGCCTCCTGTGGTGACGCCGAGAAGGCCGAATTTGCGCTGGGTCGCCGACTTTTCCGATAGCGCACGCTTGCATTCGTCCGATCGTGCGACTCGTTGCGCCTGCTCGGCCGTGGAGTAGTATGCGGTGTCGACACGAACCGCGCTCGCAAAGCTCGACAAACTGCCGCTGCTGCATGGAGTCCCGATGTCTCCGGCTGATGTTTCCGGAGGATCCAAGGCATCCGGCGGTGCCGATCGCGGTGGCGCACTTGCAGCAGACAGCTTCGGCTTCTTGTTCCACGGTCGCTTCCTCTTCCTTCCGAACGCTTGCCGCGTGCTCGATTTCAACCGAGCGTCGTCCGGCATCTCGAGAACGAACTCGAAGCGAAACAAAACAAAACACGCGCGACTTCGTAGGAAAGCGAACCAACAATGTTCAACGCAAGCGCGCAAACGGGAACTAAAACGTGCGCTCGGTAACGGAAGAAACAAAGCAGACAGGCCTAGACGGGCGGAGACGGGCCCAGGAGCAGACGACGCACCTCTCGCTAGCGCGGGAACGGAAAGGAGGAAAGGAGAAAAAGAGCGGAGGGGCGCGTTTAGGCCAATAGCAGGGGCGCTAAGCGCCGCGCGTGCTCTGACGTACGGGCACCTTGCTAGCCGGCCAATGAGCGATCGCAATTGGGGCCTTCGAAACCCGCGGAATGTGGACGTTTCCCGATGTTGTCGCGATAACGAATGGCATGGGGACGTGGGGAAAATAAGCGGCTTTCCAACAAGACCAAGATGGCCGCGATCCGACGAGCGATCGCGAAACGCGCGGGGCGCGAAGTTCCACTTGTTTTCATTGAACTCGCTGTGTTAGGGCTCTGCGGGGACATCGTAAATATCATTTTTTTCATGCTTAGACATTGAATTCGACATTGAAACTTTGCAGGCAGGTACCTTAGACTACAATTAATCCAAATATGTGAATTTTGAAAAACGTGAAATTTCGCGTTTTTTACCATTTGAAGACCCGCGTCTCCCCTTAAAGGGAAGATGGGGCACTTCTACATTTGAGAAAAAACGCTTGAATTGCGTTCATTTGACCTTCAGAATAACAGATATCACAACTATATTTCAATGCGACGCGCCGGAGAGCCATAAGAGCAATTTGAAAATAGGGCTGAAGCCCCGCCTCCCTAGCCTTGGCAAGCCAAAAGATCCGTCGATGACGTCACGGACAGCGACTGTCTTTCGCGTTTTTCTCGCGTTTAACAATGCTTGCGCGGCAAATGGTTTTGGTATTCGGGTTCACGAGGTAAGAATACACTAGAATTCACTTCTAACTCATTTTTTTCAAGAAGCTCCGTAGCTTCCCTTTAAGGTGAGGCACTTGCCTTCTCACTTTTTTAAGAGAGATGTAAGCTAGGCTCTGTTTTACATGCTCAATTTCATCATTGCTTGATAGAGGACAATGACGACCTTGTTTGCTACAGTTGAACCCATGGGTTCTTTTTTCATGAGCACTTCATGCAGCGCTCCAAAGCTTTGCAAAGTAAATGACTGCCCATCAACATCAGTCAAGGCGGACCTGCACATTTCTTAACGAGAGAAAGGTAACATAGCTGATTTTCAGCCTTGTTACTAAAATATGCAAAGGAATACAGGCTGTATACATTAACAGCACATTATGCATAGTAAAACTTGAGTCCCGTGTTCTTACATTTCAAGGCCGGAGATGGTGCCAATATCATCACCTCGAGAAGACGATGCTTGGCACTGACCCTCACTTACTGGCTTCACCTCCTATAATAGAACAACGAAGACAAAATAACTTAGCTGACTGCAAAGGGTATGCAAGCACTCGGATTATTAGAGTAAATACTATGAAGTCCAAGCTTATCAACAAAAAGGTGATGACACCAAA